CTGGAGAAAAAAAAGGACCTGCATTTTAAAGCTACATCTTAACATCAAGAAACAAGTTAAGAGACAAGACAATGTTAGCAGCCAGTCACTCAGCAAACACTTTAAATTTCCCTGGATCATGTGCTTTGCTCAAAAACACAATGCTGGGCTCATGTTCGTAGCCTGACTTCGTCATACTCATATTCTACTCAGAATTGCGAGTCTGATACTGCTCCATAGGCTTTGATTATGAGGCGTGTCTTAACCGAACAAGGAAAAAACACAACAAATTTGCTCTCAATTGGATACACCTACAACCAATCAGAGCAACACAACAAGTCAGCTAAATAGTTGCATAGCATAATTGCTAACAGAACTCAAATGCACACTGGAAGTAGTGAAATAAAGAGTGTACTAGATTCTTTTACTTGGTCCTTCATGAGAAGGAGAAACAACGACCACAGGGTTTCATTGCGTCCCATCTTCTTAGCGACAATCGGAGCCAGCTGATAAATTAAACTTTTGCCGAATCCTGTAGGAAGGACGGCAAACACATATTTCCGATCGGCGAATGCATTGATTGGAGTTCTCTGTCCGTCTTTTAAAATTAATGCGCTGACTTTCTTTTACAACAGACGCGATAGCGGAATATAGCCCTACATCTCAATTCTCCAGCTACAGTCATCTTTGAGGGAAACCAGTTTAACCCAAGCGCTCTTTGATAATGTGATGATTACGTAACTGCAGATCATCTGTCCATCATCGTAAAAAGGCAATTTGATTGGCCCGGCCATTTCTGAACTGATCATAATTATTTCTCAAGGGATCGAGTCCAGACCCAACTTCCCGACCAAAAAATTTTGTGGGCGGGGTTCGGGCTGGCATCCAGGCTATCATGTTGGCTCAATATCAAGCAAAAACATATTTTCTCTATATGTTATAAGTCTAAAGATGATAGTCTCGTATCAATTTAATGGTGTGTTGGTTGCGGGAGCATTTTGGCGCAGTGGATAACACTGTAAGTGATATGTTAGGTCTCTGGCCCACATGCTCTCATTCACCTGCTGTTCTCAAACCCACTGGTGAGGGGACACCACTTAAATTTTCATAATTAACTAGTAGCACCTGCAGGCTCTTACCTGACACCCAGCTAAAAGGAACTACAGTGTGATGTAAAGCACAGAATATAAGCATCGTTTGACAGGGGTCTTATTTACTAAACTGTGCGTATGATCCTTAATAAAAGTGTATGTGCACCCAAAAGCCAAAAATGTCGTACGCAAAAAAATATTCAGACTTATAAAACCGCCAGAACCGGTGCAGAATTCACTTTATAAAACCCAGCCAGCGGAAGATTGTGTGCACATGCGTCTCCTCCTCGAAATAACCATATAAAACGCATAGTTTACTATGTATATCCTCATCTGCATATCATTTGCATATGATTATTCATCCACATGATAACTTGTTTAATGGTACCAGACATTAGGAAAATATGAAAAACGGATGTGCCGTCACATTTCATCAATAAAAATAATTTAGTATAGCCTATCCTATGAATAAATAAATCAAATAGTGTAAAATACATTTCAGAGAAAGTTTTTCTCAATCTTTTCCACTGGCCAAAAAGTATTTTTAATTGATTATATTTTTAATGGAAACAGATAGACCTTGTTGTGCATTCTTTGAACGAAATGGTTTTCTCAGACATCTGCAAATTATCATGATAAGCAATTATCATGCATTAATTATTATATTAAAATATTAAAACACAGCATGCCAGAGGAAAAGTGTTCAAAAGCAGTGCATCCACAACAAGCAGGCCTATTTAATGAATATAAAAATTATGTAACTCCTCAGTAATGAAGTGTTTAACACCGTTAATGAGAATGGTATATTTAATCTGTTTATATCAGAAGTAAAACATAGTTTAAATCATTATTTTGTTTATTTAAACATGCACTGTACTTATGATTAGAACTCATAATGAGGATTTATGGTTATACTTCATCTGCCGTTAGACAATGCATCAGTTTCACGGGCCAGCGCTCGCTGGCATGGACATTTAAGAAGGAATTGATATTTGCTTCAAGTTATAGGCTTGGTGAGTGAAATTATATTTGTATTATCTTTCTGTATATGTATAATTTGCTTTAGATTTTCTGTCCAAAAGTGACCAAAAAGACATTAAACTCACCATCCGTGTCGTCAAACTGCTCTATCTCCAAAACGTTTGTACACATGGTAAGAGTTTGCGTGCATGTGCGCAAATTTTCCTAAAAATCACAATTTATGCGTCAGAAGTGGCGTACGCCTCTTTCAGGGTCTGTTTTGTGCGTACGCAATGGTTATAAATGAGGCCCCAGGTGTATGAAGTTGCATACGTCAATAATCAGGTACCACAATTACTTTTAAACAGTGACAATAAAACATTCTTATAACAAACATGCACACTGCTGAAAACTGGCCCAACCCAAATAATGATTATATTGATGAAATATGCTGACCACTTAAACATGCTTATCCGGATAACTTTTAAGCATGTTTTCAGCATTAACACTCTCTCTAAACTGTTAAAACAATAAAAGTTCCCAAACATCAATAATAAAGTCATAGAGGCACACAACCATGTAGCAGACTAAGAAATAATGGAGCACAGAACTCCAAAGCACACTCTTGTTCTTCAATTTCAGGTGTGCTGTAAATAGATTATGACTCAGAGGAAAAAGCACTAAGATCATGTAGCTTTCAACCTGTTTACTGCAAACGACACATAAACACACTTTTCCTGGTATTTAAGGAGGCCTGTGAGGGACTGTGTAAACTGTAAGCCTGGTAAAACAATGATAGAACGATGGATGTAAAGTAAACTCAGGAGGAGGAACACACAATTGTGATTAGTCTGAACACGGTCACTCTTAATTAAAATAATAGCCTAAACTTATCTAACAGACAACTACAGGTTAGCAGTACAACAGGACAGGACAGTTAAAGTGTAGACATGCTTTTATAGGCATAAACCAAAAAGTCCAGAACAATGAAATACAGCCATTCAGTTTAACCTGTCTTGGGGTGTGACATGCTAAACTCAATCTAAAAATTAAACCAAACAACATTTTATTGTAAAAAATGTATAATATTGTTGTGCAGCATGCAGCTTTAATGACATATTAATCTAGACACTGCATAGAATATTTCAACTTTTAAAAATGTATTTGTAATATCAGAAATGTGTTAGTTAAAAGAAAAACATACTCTCCCTTACATAAATAAATAAATTCTTAAAAATAATGTTGAAAAAAAAAAAGTTAATGTTAATGTCAATCTTGCAAGTACAAAAAATATCAAATCATAATGAGGCTGAAGATTGGGTCTGTTTAAACGGCATAGCTCCGATTATTTTCAAGGTCCACACAAGAGAAAACAACAACCCTGAACAGCCTTAAAACCCAAGACTTTGTTTGCATGTCCTACTTCAATGTTTAGGGGTGGCTGGCTTCACTAAACAACAAGCTAACAAAAGAGCTTGTAAATACAGAGCTGAATAATTCAGAGCTGAGAGTAACCGTACCCACACATTGTAGGGATTCGATCCATGGAACCAAGTGCCCAAAGCTTTCATTTTAAGCGGGTTTTGATAATGACTGCGACTGCACCACACTCTGATGTCTGTCAAATTCCACCAGAAATAGGAAAGATGGCATAAGTAGGACAGTTGTGGAAAACAAGATGATTATTAACTTAAATTCCATACAATTTTGCATACACATATGGGCCACTAAAAAACATTGCACCCATTTGGGTAAAACTGCAATCACATGAAACAGTTCAGCAAACTCTCGTTACTCAAAACAGTACTAGTTTTTGTACTTTAAATTGACAATATTGGCCTGGATACATTAAGTTTTTGATGTTTTTTAGTGATTGTGGCAACTGATGTGCTGCCATTTACTCTCAATCAGACCCAAAGCACTGTTGGTTTAAACACTCCAGCAAAGACTGCTTATAATTTGAATATTTTATAAGTCAATTGCATGACGTGATGTTTTTTATCAGTCAATTGCATGACATGTTCCATGTCGAACAAACAATAAGTTCCATGTCGAACAAACATGATTTTCTAGATGACTGGAATTAGATTTTATATATTTTCATGGTTATGATCTGCATCTTAATATAATCTTGAAGATAACAAGTGAGCATGCAGATCAGGTCAGCATATAACACCCTGTATGTATTTACACTACGAACCAGAATTGGACACACACTGTACTAACTATAGAATAAGCTACAGTCTATAAAACAAATGTCAATCAAATATTACACACAGGTCCGTTATATAGCCTAACAAACATAGACTTCATGACAACCAAATACCTGTGAAGCATGAAGGGTCACTGGGATGAAAGGAGTGGCCACAGTCATTGGCTGCCAGATGATAGCTTCAATAGTCTTCTTCAATAATCTATAACACATTTTCAGTTCTTACTAATATAAACCTTTAAAACTACATAATTTGTCGTCCTTTTAGACTGTCATTGCTTAGCCGGTTAACGTTAAGGTTAGTTAGCTGCTCGGCTAGCGGACAGTGAGTGAGTGTCTCTCAAAGTTGCTGAGGCACAAAATTGCGTTAGCCCAGACACTGAGGAACAGGTCTTGTTATACATAATTAAAAGCACTTAATAAGACTCGTACTTAACTTTTAGAGTTTGTGACTGTTAGTTAATCTAGTTCTAGCAGTTAAAGACGGGTCACCCGTTCGCTCACCGTCCCCCCAGAGTGTCCAGCCTAAAACATGACCTGACGACCAACTTTCCCTTATTAACACTCTACTTTCACACAGTTTTTCCACAGAACACATCTATTTAGATGTCAAACTACGGATATGGCGGAAATAACGGCCACTTTCCTTTCATCAACAACACTCAAACGCTGAGGAAAAATGACCCGGTTCCGTTACAAAATGCTCGTGAGGGGTTTTCAGGCTCGCAAGGCTAAAGCTAATGCAGTTGCGCGCTTACCGTGAGCGGCCTCGCGGAATTTCTCTCTCATTTCCTCCCACTCTGGGCTTTCCGATCGCAGAAAATCCGTTCCTTAGGAGGTAATGTGTTGTTCAGCTTTGTGTAAATGTCAAAAATACCTCTTGCTTGTTGTCTTAAAAAGACTTGACGACTAAGTACATTCTTACTCCCACAACAACAACAATGTCAACCAAGGCGCTACAAATCCGCCCATCTAAGGAAACTCAACTAACCGCTTGGACCAATTAGAGAGCGAGTTGAGTTTGACGGACACAGACGTGAGCCAATAGCGATCGGAATTTCCTATTAAGCTCCGCCTGTGGGCAGAAAAGGGCAAATGTGAAAAGAGAGTGGGAGCTCAGTATTCCACGCTGGTTGGTCAACCACATAGTACATGATGGGCATCGGTTCGAGGAGCCTATTAAAGTAAATCGGACCTATGACAAAGCAATGAGCAACTTTATTTAAGGGTGACGGGCTTAGCCATGACGTATTTTGCTGATGCTGGAAAAATGTCATCAGCATGGTGTCTGGTCAATTCCACATGTTTATCCATCATGACCTCAGAAGTCTTGAGTTAACGCCTACCGTTTCTGTGAAAAATATGGTTATTAAAAACTAGGTGAAATCTGTTTTTATAAATTGTGTGACTAACACTACAACAACAATAAAAAAAAATTAGTAGTATTAATATTTTGGTCTATTAAATTAAAAAAAGGGTCAAAGTACAGTGAGGAAACAAATGAAAACAATATTTTTAATAAATTATTTGAATTGAGTAATTTGACCCATATTAAAGACATTACCAAATTTAAACATATCAGTAGGGTAAAAAAACAAACTAAAAAGCAACTCAATGACATAAATTTACACACAAAATTTGCCGTAGTGTAATGCCAGTTAGTTCTTTATATTTATACTATTTTAGCAATGTGTTTTGTTTGTGTAAACCTTAAAATTCTAAGTAAAAACTGTAATTGCAAAAACCCAAATGGTCTCAAAAAAAAAGTTTACAAAGATTAATCCAAATTAATTTATTGGAAGTATACAAATCACTACTCATAACAGGTGAGGAAATGACACGTCAATCTACATACATTTTAAAGTGTACAGCCACTTTTTACAAAAAAAAAAAAGCTATGGAAATACCAACAGCTTTAACATGTATGCTTCAGTAATGTCTGTCATTCAACAAAAGACGTACAGACGGTTGCCGAATAACTAACAATTAAGACAAAAACCACCTCCTTACAAAAACAACACTAAAATCCTTAAAGAAATAGAAACACTCCAATCTGCCTCAAAGTATAATGCCAGTCTGGCTGTAAAACAGACAATGAAGTTTAATATGGAAAAATTCAACGTCTCCGTCTGTCAGGGCTTCTGCTGCGCCTTCTACCACCCCTAGAGGAAAACACATTGGTCTATTAGTCATGTTACAAGTCAACCTGTATCATTAAATACTATAGAAGACAAACTCCTCTACAAAATAAGAGTGTTTGAGTGAGTGACGCGGTCAGAGTATATAAATCCAGTTTAACAGCATAAGATACTAACTCACCTCCTCTTGCTCTTAGGTGGTCCCCTTACAAAGCCCCAGTCAACGCTGATTGGTTGCCCCATAAGATCTTGTCCATTCAGCCCTTCCATCGCAGCCTGGGCTTCTTTGTAAGTCTCATACTCCACCAGTGCATAGCCCTATATATATAAAAAAAAAAACAAGCCTCATTATTTGCCAGATCATTTTTCAAACAACACATGAAGCCCTTAAAGGAGTAATTCTCCTTTGGTTGTGTGGTTCCACAACTGTCTATCACATATTGAAACAAGCCAAACGAAACATTTTCTGAATTAATTAACATGCGGGTTTCGCATATGGGTTTCTCAATTGCAGACAGATTATTTAATCAAATTTATGAAAAAAAATTAAATGCAACAAGGTCAAAATGTTCAAAATCACATAAAATAAAACTGCATATTGAGCATCTTGTGATCAAAAACAGCTACACAGAGCTCAGATTTCTTAAAAGAAGATCTCAATTTGTGTTCCAAAGATGAACAAAAGTCTTACAGGTTTGGAAAGACATGAGGGTGAGTAATTAATGACAGAATTTTTCAGTTTTCTTTCTTCCTTTAAGCACAAGAAAGCAGCAAGATCATTTTAAACACTGTCAAAATATGGTCATCAATGAGACAAAATGAATCAGATTCTGTTTAAAACACTGCCACCTGGTGGACAAAATCAAAGACACTTGGGTGAATCCCTCTTATTCAACAATTCCTCTAATTAGGGTAAAAATAAAAAAGAAAGAAAACCATTTCAGAGCAAATACAGTGAGAAAGCCCTTCCCAAGCCAATAAACCTGTCAACTTTTATATTATATACATTTTGTATATATCTATTTAGATATCTCACCTAGTCTCATTCATATACACACACACAACACAGTCAGGCAGTCTTTCATAAATCACAAATAAAGTGAAAAAACTAAAAATAAAAAAGGTCAGTAAACTTTACACACATTAGTATTTCTCTGAATCAAAAATTTACAAAAATGCCAAACTAACCTTAAGGTAACCAGTTCTTCTGTCCAAATTTAGATGCAAGTTCTTGATTTCTCCAAACTCTGCAAACTTGTCGTGGACATCCTCTTCCGTCGCCTCCTCATGTACACCAGTCACAAACAGAATCCATCCTTCAACAGCTAGTGACATCAAAACATGTGAAAAAAGCGATAAAAATTCCTTTTTCCAGAAGCAACCAAGATAAGAACCAAACATTTTGTCAGCTTTTCCTCGACATATCCTCATGATAGACATTCTAATGCATTTTAATACAGTCCAATATGTTGAATTTACAGGCATAGAGTTGTCAGATGCTGATATGCAACATTAACATCATATGAAGAGTTCAGATGCAAAAGCCTCTAAATGCCATTTGAAATTTCCTTCTTTAATGATGATTTTGATCAAACTTGTATATTTAAGTTCAGTAATTTCACTTAAATGGCAATGATAATTACCTATTAATTGTTATTTAAGTGAAATTACCGAACTTAAATATACAAGTTTGATAAAAATCATCATTAAAGAAGAAAATTTCAAATGGCATTTAGAGGCTTTTGCATCTGAACTCTTCATATATACTCTGATATTTACAGTTCTGTGAATTTCACTTACATCTCTGTGGGCCAGGCTCATCTCCATCCTGTTCTACTGTGTCATAGTCCTCTCTGACTCGGGATCTAGCTCCTTCCTCTGTGAAATAAAGCACCAAACATCATTAGCAGGATCAATTAAGATGCAAACACACAGGATTAGAGATGAGGTGCCTTACCTGATCCAAACCCACGACCCTTCCTCTTCTTGGCTTTCTCTTTTAACTTGTGAATGCTCTCTGCAAGGTGAACAGAAGGAAAAAGAATGAGTCTTATAATGTATTCAAAAAATAATGACAAGGGCTTGGACATTTTTGAAGATAACTACATAAACATTATGAATGAAACTAGAAGAGTGCCATAAATACTATCTTTTTAATATCACAAACGATGATGAATCAATATATCCGAGCTTGTATTCTTGACGACCATATAATGGACTTTTTGGCAATGGTAAAATGAAAACAAATAAAACGTATAAAAACTAAAAACCAAAGCAACAAAATTAAATAACATTAGCATCAGTCCAGCGCGCGATTCGTTTGAATTAGCCAACTATTAGCACGCGTGCTAAACTGACTAGGCCCGTTGGAAGTAAACACGGGAATTACACAAATTCAGCACTCATAAACAGATGGTTGTTTAATCATTTAAAACAATAATAATGTGTATGGACTGTTTGAATATAAATAACCACTGTACCATCACCATCCTCGTCCATAGGAAAGTCTTCACCCCCCGCTTCATGAAGATCCAGTACGTCCGCCATGATGCCTGACTGTGAGTGAGCGAGAGAGTGCGACTGCGAGCATGCGCAGAATACTCACTGCGACACACGTCTTGTTCGTCTTCATTGGGTCACATGCTGTTCGACTACTTCGCCATCTGCTGTTTTGGAGGACGTCGAACCTCTGAATTTTATTCACAGACAAGTTTTTGATTTTTTGGCGCGTTGCGTAATTAAGGGTTAGTTCACCCCAAAAATGAAAATCAAGTCATTAATTACTCACCCCCATGCTGTACCAACCCCGTAAGACCTTCGTTCTACCACATAGGCACCCTAAAGGGATTGAAACTTGACGGCCCAGATCAAGTCATCGAAGAAAATGTCTAAATATTCCACGCGTCATGGAAATCTCTTGAACTCTCGTCTCAGGCCCAGAAGGAAGAATAGTCGAATAAAGTCGTTATTTTTGTTGTTTTTTTGTTTTTTTTTTGCACAAAAAGTATTCTCGTCGCTTGATAAACTTAAAGTTGAGCCACTGTAGTCACATGGAATATTTAAACATTTTCTTCGATGACTTTATGGGACGTTGATATGTCATATGTAGTTTTTAAGGCACATTTTTTATGTCCTAGCTAAGGCACTACTTAAATATCCTAATTTAACAAAGGCCTAATGGCTTGATCTAAACTCTGTCTGTAAAGCCATGGATTTACAACCCAATATAAATAACAATAAGAATAAAATAGTCAGGAATTAAACGTTTTATTAAAACATAAAAATTAAGTACATAAATAATTAACATGGTACAGCACCAAAAAAAAAAAAAAAGAAAAAGAAAAAAGACGTTTAGGTGCGTTCTTTATTCAGCGGAGTCTCTAGGCTATTACTGTCACTTTATTTAGCCAAAATTATAAAACATTAATTCAATTAAATTGTTTATTATCCTCATGTATAGCCTTTAACAAATTTTAAATAATCCTGATGACAATGAACTGGTAAAAGTATTAATTAAGTCATGAAATTACTATAAATCTAGTTCAAACAATGCCCACTTCAAAATGATCTGTTCTCCAAGTGTAAAGTTCAGCGCTTGTTTCTAACGTTTGACTCAGTCACTTTATATGACAAAGGGGGAACAAGATAGCCAAGAAAACCTGACCATAGATATATTCCCCACAGTCTTAGATAAACCCAATCAGTTTATGATAGAATAACAGCTAAGCTGGTCGGTGTTGACGTGCAAGTCAAAGCATAAGAGGAAAATACTAGGTCAGAAGGTTTTAGGATAAAATCTCAAGACACCAGGCAACATTCATTCACATGGGGTTGGGGTATTAGACCGAAAAAGAAAGACAATTTATTCTATACCAACAGGACATACTCTCATGTAAGTGATTATGTGATTTGAAACCCTGAAAAAATGCATCATTTGAGCAAAAAGAGTAAAAGAGATTAATGTTGAACTTTGATTTGATCACTTCAGTGTCAGGTAAAGCCTAAAGGTTCAGTGTGTGTAGATGATTTCATCAGCACTGGTCACCCTTTGAACTTGTCCTGGGACTATAAAAACCCACGGCTCATTGGAGAACACACCATCAGGTCTAAGAACCCCTGGACGTAAGGTAAGATGACATCTACATGTCGAGCTCTGCTGTTGATTCTTAATATCTGATGAAATTTAAGAGGAGAAGTCTAACTAGAAACTGATATGAATCATTATCTCTGTCTGTTCAGGCAACTCTCACCCAACGTGCAACCATGAAGTTCTCCCTCATCGCCGTCCTTGTTGTTGCTCTGGCCATTGGTGAGACTTTAACTTGCGATGCTCTCAAGATATATTGTATTTGTGTATGCAATTTTGCAACTCAGTTAATCTATACTCTTAAAAATTAATGAGCTTCATGGTTCCATAAAGAACATTTAAATTCCACGGAACCTTTCCATTGCACAAAAGGTTCCAAATAGTGGAAAAGGCTTTAGATTATTAAAACGTTCTTTACAATAAGAGAAAATGGTTATTTTGAGGTATCTTTGAGGAACCCAAATTGGTCCTTCTATTGCTCACTGCAAGTAAAAAAAAAACATTTCGAACCTTTATTTTTACGAATGTAGGGGTTCAATTGACAATGTGTGTGGTAGATATTTTATCTTTATCTATTTATCTTGTATTTTGTGTATGCAATATGGCAACTCAGTTAGTCTAGGGGTTAAATAGACAAACTATATCAGTGTGTGTGATGGATATTTTATCTTTACTCTCTAAAGTACTTAACATAACAAAGTGTCCTGTTGAAACATACAGTAAAAGCCTCCTTTCACCTGATTTAGCTTGAGCACTTGAGAGTAATGCCATTCAAGATGTAAGAGTGTATTGATCAACCATTTCTGTTGATGTTCCAGGCTCTGAGTCAGTATCTCTGGTCAAGAGAGACGCTCCTGCTGAGCTGGACAAGATCGCCAAGTATTTCCAGGACCTCGTGGACAATCTGAAGAACGTTGAGGGCCCTGAGCTGGCCAACAAGGCCAAGTAAGTTCATCATCGTAATCTCAACTGTGGATATAAATGATCAACAGAATTACGATCCAGTTGAACTTATGTTAATGAATTCTCTTTGGTTTGTGTTGCAGCGCTTACCTCGAGCAGAGCAGAGCCCAGTTCCAGCCCATGGTTGAGAAGCTCCAGGAGCAGTTGAAGCCCCTCTCCAGCAACATCGAAGACCACATCAAGCCTCTGGCCGCCTCCGTCCAGGCTCAGGTCGCCCCGCTGGCCGGCATGGTCCAAACCCACGTTGAAGACGTCCTCAAGTTTGTGGCTGAGAAGACCAAAGCCATCCTGCCGCCCCAGTAAACCCACAGAATCACCAATGCTTAGTTTTCTTCCATTTTGGTCTCCTTATGTATATTTAAAATAATAAAAGGGATTTAAATGTCACAATGCTTTGTATCTCTCCCTTCCATTTTCTCACAAACTGTGTTTTTTTCCCGTGCACATCTCACATGTATTAAATGAAGTAGCCATTTTGTTTGTAGGGCTTCCCTAAAATGTAGGGAATGCTCTCTTCATGTATGAAATAATAAAAACAACTAAAAAGTGACCACTCTGGCTAGTTATTCAAATGTCTCGCATTAAATGTAACATTTTTTGGCCTGTTGGATGATAAAGCTGTTAAAAAAAACACATAGCCTTAACAATGGTGGACCATACGAACTTTTGGTGGGTTCTTATGATTTGTCCAGTATAAATAATCATCCAGGGGCCAGATGCATAAACCGCGACATACAAGTCAGGCATCATCACATCTCTTTTATTTTAGACTGTTCATAACTTTTTAAAGTCAGTTATATTAAAAAAGTATATTGGTCTAATTAAATACCAAAAAGTAAGAAGGCTCCCCAACTACCTGCTATTGGTCATACTAGTTCTTAAATGGATAGTTGACCCCAAAATGAAAATTCTGTCATTAATTACTCGCTCTCATGTCATTCCAAACTTGTAAGACTTTCATTCATCTTCAGAACACAAAGGAAGATCTTTTTGATGAAATCTGAGAGATGTCTATCCCTTCATTAGCAACACAACTACAACTTTGACGCTTCAAAAAGTTTCTAAAGAGATCGTAAAACGAATCAATATGAAGCTCAAATGTGCTGCATAACAGAAGAATGAAAGTTTTGAAGAGTCAAAGTGGTTGCGTAGTTGTCAATCGAGAGAAATCTCTCCGACTTCATCAATTGTGTTCTGAAGATGAATGAAAGTCTTACAAGTTTGGAACGACATGAGAGCGAGTAATTAATGACAGAATTTCCATTTTGGGGTCAACTAAGTTTGGATTTTTTTTTTTTTTTTACCTTGTTGTTCATTTTTGTTTTGTTTCTTTTAATTAATATTCCATGTTTCATTGATTAATAACTGTATTTTTATTTATTATTTACATGTTCAAAATAAAGATCTCAAATCAAATCAAATAGATCCTAATTTGTGTTCCGAAGTTGAACAAAAGTCCTACTGGTTTGGGACAACTTGAAGGTGAGTAATTAACGACAGAATTGATTTTTTTTGGGTGGGCTTACACTTTAACATGTTAACAGTCTCAACGGAATGGCCTTGTTTATGCAGCTGGATTCAAAACACCATAGCAACTGCATAGCAACACTCTAAAATCCCTCAGAACACCATTGTAAGAATGGGTGTGTTCCTGAATCTGAATTATGATTAAGAACAGGTTTTTGCAGTTTATATTTTAGAGCACCGTCAACTTATTTTGTAAAATCAAAAAGTAGTTAATTTTTTTAGCTAAAGGCTAATATAAAAAGCAGAAAAGGCAACTACATACTTTCCAATTCTAATACAATTATTGGGCTATATGCACGCATAAATTCCGCATTTGACGTAAGGATGCTCGTCCATTTCCGGTTGTGTAGATTAAAGCGGAGGAAAACCGGAGAAAACGGGATTATGGCAGAGTCTTCAATATTTACTGTCCTCTCGTCTTTGAAACGAAACGTACATACGTTTAGATGTAATTTTATATATAGTTATGTTTATTTAATATAATTTTAAAAAGAAGCATAAACACAACGAGGGGTGTCTGTTTTTGTGACTAACGTTTCATTAGTATAACCATGGAGTATAAAATTCAATATAAATTCTCGGTATTGCATTGGACTCTATGATCGGCGGAAGTTATCGAGCATCCTTAATCCTTCACCGGAAATAACGCCGTGCATAGAGCCCATAAGCCTGCAATTAATTTTTTATTTGAAAACAAATGTTATTTAGATTTTTGCCATTTTAAGTTATAGCTTCTCTAATCTTTTCCTCTTATATTCCAATGTCAAATGACAACGATTAAACGAAACAGCATTTCATGGAAATAATTAAATATTTGTCAGTGTCAATAAGGTCTGCTTTCATCCTAATTTTACTGCATTAAACAATTGTATACATGCGAGTTCAGACTCAAAACTGTAACGAGACAGTTTCACAATAAAATTAATTAAAACCCCAAAGGTGATGAACATATAAAAAACTAAATATAACACACATTCACATCATCCCACCGTCACTGATACCACCACTCAAGCAAGTTGGGGTACCAATTTATTTAAATCAAATTCCAAAGCAGTATTTTCTGACCTTGCACAGACAAAAACATTGATTATTTTATTTCAGTCTATAAATAAGCCCTGAAATATTTCTGCACGTACTAAAGCGCTGCACTGATCACGTTATCAGATGACCGAAACTCCACAGAAATGCACTAATTAAGCACAAACACAGATTACTGTTGAACTTTGATTTGATCACTTCAGTGTCAGGTAAAGCCTAAAGGTTCAGTGTATGTGGATGATTTCATCAGCACTGGTCACCCTTTGAACTTGTCCTGGGACTATAAAAACCCACGGCTCATTGGAGAACACACCATCAGGTCTAAGAACCCCTGGACGTAAGGTAAGACGACATCTACATTATCGAGCTCTGCTGTTGATTCTTAATTTCTGGTGAAATTTAAGAGGAGAAGTCTGACTAGAAACTGATATGAATCATTATCTCTGTCTGTTCAGGCAACTCTCACCCAACGTGCAACCATGAAGTTCTCCCTCATCGCCGTCCTTGTTGTTGCTCTGGCCATTGGTGAGACTTTAACTTGTGATGCTCTCAAGATATGTTGTGTTTTGTGTATGCAATGTTGCAACTCAGTTAATCTACACTCTTAAAAATTAAGGATCTTCATGGTTCCATAAAGAACATTTAAATTCCACGGAACCTTTCCGTTGCACAAAAGGTTCCAAATAGTGGAAAAGGCTTTAGATTATTAAAACGTTCCTTACAATAAGAGAAAATGGTTATTTTGAGAACTATTCACAGAAAGGTTCTTTGAGGAACCCAAAATGGTCCTTAAGTTAAATTAACAATGTGTGTGGTTGATTTTATCTTTACTCTGTTAAGTACTTAAAGTGTCCTGTTGAAACATACAGTAAAAGCCATAGTGTCTTTCACCTGATTTAGCTTGAGCACTTGAGAGTAATGCCATTCAAGATGTAAGAGTGTATTGATCAACCATTTCTGTTGATGTTCCAGGCTCTGAGTCAGTATCTCTGGTCAAGAGAGACGCTCCTGCTGAGCTGGACAAGATCGCCAAGTATTTCCAGGACCTCGTGGACAATCTGAAGAACGTTGAGGGCCCTGAGCTGGCCAACAAGGCCAAGTAAGTTCATCATCGTAATCTCAACTGTGGATATAAATGATCAACAGAATTACGATCCAGTTGAACTTATGTTAATGAATTCTCTTTGGTTTGTGTTGCAGCGCTTACCTCGAGCAGAGCAGAGCCCAGTTCCAGCCCATGGTTGAGAAGCTCCAGGAGCAGTTGAAGCCCCTCTCCAGCAACATCGAAGACCACATCAAGCCTCTGGCCGCCTCCGTCCAGGCTCAGGTCGCCCCGCTGGCCGGCATGGTCCAGACCCACGTTGAAGACGTCCTCAAGTTTGTGGCTGAGAAGACCAAAGCCATCCTGCCGCCCCAGTAAACCCACAGAATCATGCACCAATGCTTAGTTTTCTTCCATTTTGCTCTCTTTATTTATATTTAAAATAATAAAAGGGGTTTAAAATTCATAACGCGTTGTATCTCCTCCTTCCATTTTCTCACAAACTGTGTGTTTTTTTTCGTGCACATCTCACATGTATTAAACGAAGTAGCCATTTTTTTCGTAGGGCTTCCCTAAAATGAGGAAAATCATGTAAAAATCCAAACATTTTCCTGACATGTTCAAGTTGACAAATCAAGGTTGTGAGAGAAAATATAAGGATGAAGATTGTGTTTTATTTTACGGATATTTTAAATGTGTTTATAAATATCTTAAAAAAGCAAGGAGACAGCCTTATAACTATAATAGCCACATTTTTATTTTCTTAATATTAATTTATGCATTGAGGACAAGTGTTTTTGGATGAGTGACAACCTTATACATTTTATTAAAGAAAAGAAAAGAAAAAGAAAAGGTTTATTAGTTTTGGTTTTGTAAAAAATAGTTTTAAAGTAGAAATGCTAGTTGCTTTTTAGCCAAATTGCAGGTAGAATTATATATATATATATATATATATAGAAAGATATAGATAGCTTATAGATTATATAAGAAGATAGCTATCCTGCATAAAATCCAATGCACGTTCACAGAAATTGAATAACCACACAATGAAGTATAAGTACATTTATTTCCAAATGAATATCCTCAGTTCATGTCAGTCATTTGGTTTGGCAGCAGAGGGCAGTGTAAAGAAATAAACTGGTTATTTTCTGTGTGCATTGAAGACATTCATCGTAGAGCCGTGAGGTAGACTATGAATTGTTGTCTCCTTAGATAAAAACAACAAAATCACTAGTCTTCCACACTGCAATAGACTTCATCAAAATTACTCGGACGTACCCAAAACTCAGACGACGAACCACATTAGAAGCTGGTTTTATCGCCAAAACGCATTAAATAATATCAACAAAAAGAGGCATGCATTAGTGAGATAGCAGAGCTTACAAAACATGATTCTTGAGAGAAATCCAGTCGTGATTTTTCTGCCATTTTAAGAGTCGGCTTGGAGTCAATAGGCGGCTTGGAGTTTATTCTTCTGTTGAACACAAAAATAAAGATATTTTAAAGAATGTTGGTCACTAGACAGTTGACAGCAGCCATTGACTTCCATAGTAGAAAAAAAAATACTATGGAAGTCAATGCACTGTAAAAAATAATGTTGGTTTAACTTAAAAAAAAAAAATTAAGTTCATTGAAATGGAAAAATTGGGTTAATGCAATGAAGGAGATTAATTTAACCACTAAAAACTCAAAATATGATGTTATTTGAACTACATAAATTATCTAAGTTGATTTGACAAAAGAAAAAATGTTTTCATGAACATTCTTTAAAATATCTTCTTTTGTGTTCAAGGGTGAGTACCGTAAATGATGACAACATTTTCATTTTTGGGTGATCTATCCCTTTAACTCATTTTGAAGCAATGATTTGGCCACTGTCAACTCACATCACCAGTACCATGTACTATTCTGTCAGAAGGTCACACAAGCGTGAGGGACACGATGTTAGTCCGTGCTGACCTTCTCCTTGTACAGTGAGATAAATAATAACCACAGCGAGCTTTTCAGCCTTCATAAAGCACATTTTTGTATCAGCATCTCTCTTTGAAATTCAATGTCAAATGCAATTATTGCCAGAGTCCTATGACAATGCTGAATAAAGCAAATTAGTTTTGTTTTTTAAACATTACAAGTAAAATGTGATGTTCAGTGTCTCAAATTACATCCTTAGGAAAAAAAGGTTCAATGGGTTCTATATAGAACCTTAGGGTTCTTGACTCAATTTAAAAGAACACCATATTCCAAAAAGATTCTTTAAATACCTTTAAAATACTTTAATGTTTAACAGGTTATTTCATGCTTTTTTTCTAGTGATAAAGAATGTTTACAAGCTGCTCAATTCGTAAAATGTCATTGAAATTTAAAACTAAATTAATTCATCAAAACTAAATCCATAAAATTATCCCATGAACCACCTGATAGAAGCCTTTAAGGTTCTTTCTTCTAACAGTGTAGTAAAAATATAATATTTTTCTCCAAATTGATAAAAAAAAACTTACCAGAATGATGTACAAGGACATTTATTTCAATTCCTGATGGATGATAGCTTGATATTAAAATAAGTGATAGACTCTGGAAATCTCCACCTTAAGTTGGTCCATATGTTCTGAAATACATATGTCCTCAACAGCTGGTGACCTAAAAGGATACATCAAAAACGGATTAATTAAAATGTAAAATTGATGTCAAAGCGTACATTCTCACATCACAACAATAAAATAAAACACTTGGTACTCACCACGAACAGCCATTGTGTGCCTCTCAGAAGAATCAGTTTATAGACGAAAGGACTTGCCTTTGATGAAAAGAGAAAGAAAAATAGGAAAAGAAAAAGAAAAAGCAGAAAAATAAGCCTCCCGCTGATAATTGGAGTCTCGGCGGCACTTGAAAATGCGAGGCCAGATGAATGGAGTACTGATACAAACTCCAAGGTGCTTTAGCTGAAAATTGGGGTTAGAAAACTACAGGTTTGTTTTGGGAAGACTGTAGGACCAATGGTCCAGGATCTGAGGTTCCTGAGGAGTCTCGTCTCTTCAAACGCGAAGGGCCTCGGGCGCAAGGAAAGCTCTGCGTCTCTGGTCAGCGGTGGATATACTGATGGCTAGGTTTTGCAGACATGGGTTATGTTTTTTACTCAAAGCTGACAGACGGACAACCCCCCCTGCACACAGGTGCTATTCAAGGATATTGTGTAAAAATGACGTCAGAGAAATTTTACTTGACAATCTTTTCAGCGTAAAAGTCCCGCCCTCTGTTACCAGTGTATATAAGTTCATTGGTACTATAGGCTAGCGTGTTCATTAAAGAGCTTTTCTCAAATGCACATCTGAAAAGTATTGTTTTTTTGAATCATTATTTATGCATGCATATGTTTTTGACATGCCTGAACATCAAGTGCATTTTAGTGAAATAGCGAGTAGTGAAAGAGCACAGATGAATCTGCAGACAGACAATGCAGTGCATGCAGCGCTTTGCCTCAGCAACAATGAAGCGCTGGCCTTGGTTATAGTTGCTAGGCGATGGAGGAGATACAATGGCCTCCTTAGAAACCAAAGGCCATTTTTTTTTTTTTTTTTTTTGGCTAAAAGGAGCAGTGCCACACAAATTAAACTTGATGTACTATACTGAACTCAATAGTGGTGTAGATCATCTTCAGGGTCTTTCAATAAAACTCTTTAGTTTGGTGGTTTTAGTGCCATTTTATGTGATCTTGCAGTCGGATAATAATAATTAACCTGCAATTGTTTCCTATGTAACTTTCACCTATTGCACATAACCAGGTTTTATTTACATTGTGAGACTTCAAATTATTGTAATAATAAAGATTGATTATTATGGGATAGCATTTCGGTGTCACTGACAATATTTGGTTATAATACCACCAATGTACTGGAACTACTGATATAATGACACAGTTGGTAAACGTGATTACTTTTAATGTAAGAGCAATGTTTAATAAATGCAGGGACCATATCTACTTAAATACATATTTGTTATAATGTAATTGATTTAATAATGTAGTAGTTTACCATACAGTATTTTATTACATTTCTATACAATTTTATATAGTCTACAGCGCTTTCGAAAACATGTAGAGTCGGATACAGGTTAGAATTAGATCACAGAGGCCCTTTCTTATCGAATAATTTTTTTCTTTTGAAACAAAGTGGTTCAACTTAACTTGTGCTGTAAAGCCATGCAATTTTCTAAGGCAAACGCTTAGCAATTAGATGACCATTCTTTCATTAAGTTGAGGTCAGCCCATTAACGGTGGCAAAAAAAAAGAAAAGCATAACGCAAGTTTGACGCACCCCAGTGAGTTTTAGACAGGTCTTCACAATGGGACCTGAAGCAAAATGGAAATTACACTAAATTGCTCTAATACACATCCAGTGGTCCTGAGAAGCACAGTGGGTCTTTTATGCACACGACTGATGGGTTCAGCTACAAAGTGGAGGAGAATTAGAGAACAGACTTGAAAACAGTAGAGAGTGAGCGGCTGAGCAAGAGCAGGGCAGTGAAGGATTGTTCTTTTGTACTGACAGCGATGGCAGGTGCACTTTGAGAGACTCTGAGAAAGACAACGGCTGGCTCGCTCGGACGCGGTATTTCCAAGATTAAAAAGGACAATTAAATGAATTGTATTTTTCTGGTCTTGGAGGGGTTTTTCTTCTTAATTAGGAAATTAAAATTAGACTGAATTATGAAAGCTGACCACACCCTTTTCATTAAAATGCTTCTTTCACATACAGCTTTCTAAAATTAACCATCATTTAGAAAATCATAGATATGTATACAGTATATGCATCATTAGTGGCTGTTTCTATGGGCTGCTGTACGCGAACCGTCTGCCTTATTGGACCCGGACCGGTCAAAGCTGGTCCGTGAGCAACACTTGAAAGCAAGTTCTGCAAGCGTCTGAATATCTGCAATAGACTTCAACTGATGATTTTGCTAAACTAACACAATTCAACAAGATGAAGGCATTGGCTAACACAACATTAAAAAGTTAGCCAACACATAAACATATTTCACTTGTACAATTTAAATCTCTACAGTTTTTACAACCAGAGGCTGCGCAATGTTGTGGCATCTTGGAAAACAAATCGATTTTTTCTGAGCGACGACAGCATCTGAAATGTTGACTGTTCCAAGATGGCGGACGTTTTTGGAGCGTTCGAACGTGGCATTTACTGGTGTGTTCATGCCAAAGTGTTAGACTTGTAGTCAAGACCGCCTAAACAGAGACCAAGACACTA